CAGTATAGGGCTTTTCACACTTCACTTAACCCCAGGTATTTGTTGTTCTAAACCCTACTTTTAACCCTGGGTTTAAGGAACGTTTCACGCTTGTAATTTAGAAGCAGGATTAGCACCGCTTTTTACCCAGGGTTATGAAACCCTGCTCCAGCATTAAGATATCTTTAATACTTTTTGAGTTACAGGCATGCAAACTTTGAAGAAAAAAACGTAAAAAGTGCTTTTTCCCCATTTTTGAATGGCCACCATTGGCACATAATGCAACAAAGATTGCTAAAGACAACATTTTACTAACAGACCTACTAATCTCTGTGTAAAAATAACATTGTGATGCTGCCATCTTTAAGTCATTTTTAACCCCTTGTAATTTGGCTCTGAACCTCAGGTGAAAATTGCCATTTTGACCCCCCTCTACAAAGTCTTTGAGTTTGTATAAACATCAACAAGCTGAAAAATAAAACCAAAGTTTTTTTTTTAGATAATGTAATCTTGTTAAAATTAATTTCATAAAATTGGTATCGAAAAAAGTATCATTCAGGAACCAATATCGAAGTCAAGGTATCGATATCGAAAAATTTTGAACGATACCCAACCCTAGTGGTTCTATAGTATTTTGTCGCGCCGCTCGCGTCCAGTGTAGACACGGTGTTAGGAATCTGTTTTCCCTTATAAGGATTCATGCTTCGGGCATACCCCCTAACTCCACCCCCCCTCCCCTCCCCCCACTCGCCCCCGCCGATGTCATCGTCCATCACAATGTTTCACTGTAGACATCGTCCGATGCCAATTTTGTAGACATCGCCCAACCCTAGTATGTGATTCATATCTCAAATGTGTCAGATGGATCAATGTGTGGAGGCGTCTTTGGTTAGGAAGTGGGTGAATAGTGATGTTGGAGTGTAGTTTGGTGTGCACCCACACATTTTTTTTATGTTTGCATTTTTATTGTCAAAGACAGTTACAGACACTTAGTTACCCATTTCTTGTATTGCTGTATTGCTCTGTTCTTTGCATTTACCTTTTTTTCTGGGCAGACAAGCGCTTACTGTTTAAAGGTATGAATTCACTGGGTGGATAGAGGATGCATGAATGGATAGAGGGATAGGTGGGTGTTGAAAAGCAGAAAGAAAGAGAAGTGACTGGACTGGAAAGGAGTGTCCTTGTGTGCGGAGGTAGGGTGGGTGTAACTGGATTATCTCTTTTGTGAAATCATCACCACCCAGAGGACTGTACTTTGCTGGCTGCTGGCCCTGTAGGTGGAGTTTCCTTCCTTTAGGCCAAACGTTGGAGGTGCCCTGTTGGTTTCGACTCACTGGGGTGGGCCTTTTCCTCTCCTCTCCCAGAATGTTTTACATCAGGTGGCTCAGATCACCCTTTATGGCAGCCGAGAGTTGTATGACACGGTTGGAAACTCTGGCTAGCACTCTTTAATTGGTATACCTTGGTGCGGAGAGCTTTTATAAAGCATTCAGGGAGTTTGGAGGCCCCCTAAAAATGTCTGATGACTGAAATGTTTATATCAGGGATCTCCTGCACTGGTACAGCGTGGCTCTTTTTCACATGACAACAACATCTCGCCTGAATGGAATGGGCTACACTCTAAAAAATAAAAGCCTTTTTTACATATTACAGTGATGCCATTGAAGAACGCTTTTGGTTTCCCAAAAGAACGTTTCAGTGATTGGTTCTTAAAGGAACAGTTTCTTCTTTGAAAACCCCTTTTTCCACTATAAAGAAACTTCTACACAATGGAAAGGTTCCATGGATCGTAAAGGTTCTTCATGAAACCATAGATGCAAATAAAGGACCTTTATTTTTAAGAGTGTAGATTTGTTGAGGGGAAGAGCTGTGATTTGCATTTAGGATGGTTCTTTCTAAGAACAAACACTCTCTGTGGGAGAGTTTGTGTGAGGGCCAAAGCAGATGGACCCCCCACTGTTAGAGTTAGCCATTAGTTCTGGTCATTCATACGTCTGATGAAGGTCAACTGGGACGTGCTGTCACACAGAGCGAAGGTAGGACAGGTGGGCATCGGGTCGGCGATGTGTACAGGTGGGCATTACTAAATAACTACCCACAGCTACTGTCTGACTTTGAAATGCAGGCTTTGTTCAACCACAGACCCTCTACACCTGCCTTACAACCAAAGCATTATGTGCATAAAGATTATGTGTTTTGGTTTACTTAGCTATTCTTTGGCTACAATATTGTCCCTAGAAGTTGAATAAATATGACAACCTTCTTTTGGTGACGATCAAGCGACTTAAAAAATATATATAAATAATTAAATAAAGTAAAAGTGTTTTTTATATTTTGGGTGTTTTGAGCTATTGTTGCAGATAACAAATGTAATAAATTAAATGTTATAAATTAGGAACATACTGATATTCTGGAAAATATTTATGAAAAATGAAATAAAAACATTAGAATAAAAATAAAATGAATTTTAAATGAATTTAATTGTGTATATAAGTTTATGGTATGTCCTCATTTAAATAACTATACTACCATTCAAATTTTGTGGTCAAAATTATTATTTTTTTAATAAATTAAAACTTTTATTCAGCAAGGATACATTAAAACTGATCAAATTAAAGAAAAAGAAATCTGCAAAAAAGTATCACAATGTAACAAGTATAAAAATATTTAAGCAGCACACCTGCTTTCAACATTGGTAATAATATGACATGCTTCTTGAGCACCAAATCAAATTCAGAAGGATCATGTGACACAGAAGACTAAAGTTAATGGCTGCTGAATATTCAGCTTTGCCGTCACAGGATTAAATTACATTTTTATATTAGGACTGGTAAGCGAATAACATTTTTAATCTAATTAATTACATGACGTGGCGATTAATTAATCTAATTAATTGCAAATTCATCCCACATCAAATTTGGCTGAGAAACTACTCCCAAAAGATAATTTAAAGTCATTGTTGTGTAAAGCATCAAACAGACATTACAAAACGTAGCTTCAGCAAGAAACATTTTGTTTGATTCAACATAAAATTTATTACATATACTCTTTTGGACCATGAGGGTGAGTAAATGATGACAAAATCATCATTTTTGGGTGGGTGAACTACTACTTTTAATATTTTATTATTATTATTATTACTATGGAAATATGAAATTATTTCTTTAATGAAATGATACTCTAAATAAACTAAAACTGCCAGTAGGTGGTGTTAAATGTCTTAATGATTAAGTCATCGAGTCATTTATACATTCATTTGATTCGTTCAAATAGCTGATTCATTCAGGAGTGAAGTAAACGGTTCTCTTTATGAATGGTCCATTGAATGGTCCTTGTTCGACTTGAAGCGGATCTTCACCATCAGATCGAACGGTGTGTGGCATCAAAGTACCACGAAAGCGATTAGAGAGCAGACGACTCTGCATGCTTTTGATGTCATAAACCGATTGGTCTGGGCAGTGCCGCTTCAAATCCAATGATCCTAATGGTTCTCCCAATTCGTTCAAAACGTGCATTAAGAAATGAAATGCAGCTGCGTGTTGCTCGGAGACGAACAGTTCTGCTTTGTCTTTATATTTTCGTTGTCAAAATTTTGCAAAACAGACAACATTGTGTCTAAAATAACACAATATTATCTTATTTACTGAACTGTTGTATAAGATCAGTATCACATTTGCACTCGTGTGATATTGCACTTATTGCTCGTGGGATATTGCTTAAATATATGATGTAAATATGAGACAAAAACTCACAGGGGCTTTTTTTGCCCCATATCTTGAATTTTAGGGACATTCCAACTATGTCCTCCAGGCTCCATCACGCAGTGAGTTGTTGCCCTGCCTCATATTTGTCATCAATCAACTGTATGAAATGTCAGATGACCCACGCAGGTCTGGGGTGGGGCAAGTGCGTTAAATGCATTAATAATTGTAACGTGTTATTTTTCACCGTAATCTAATTAAATCATTAAATCTCCAGCCCTATTGTATATACAGTGGGTACGGAAAGTATTCAGACCCCCTTAAATTTTTCACTGTTATATTGCAGCCATTTGCTAAAATCATTTAAGTGGTTACAGGAACATCAATAAGTCAAACTCATAATAGGAAGCTACTGCTTAGGCATTGTGTGTTTGTGTGAGCATGAGCGTGTGTTCAGTTGACACAGAGACGAGCCTGAACATATAACGTTCAGCTGCCGTCACTTTAACAGCCTCCTGGGAGGAGAGGCACACAAAACATGGGAAAAATGTGAAAAATGCCTCCTTAGAACTCCCCCTTCTCCTACAAACTGATACCGTGTTCAGATTAGCATAGAAACATAGCCTGTGGAAACTGAAAAGTTTGCGGTTAATTAACCATAATTATCAACCCCAAACGGAGGGCCGCTCAGATAATGTTGACATGAAGTCAGGGCATGTTTTGACCATACACACAAGGGTGGACCTCTTTTTTTATTTTTCAGAAGAGACGGAACAGTTTTTCTGTTGGGCTGTGTTATGAGTCTAAGCCCTCATTTAGCCTAGCTTTCAAAACAAATGCTCTTTATGCATGTAGATCCCTCAAAGCTGAAGTAAATGTTTTTTATGATGTTTGTGTATGAAGGTTCCTCAAAAAGGAAACTGGTGTCAGACAGGCTGGTTAACATCACATCTAATGATCTAAAATGAATTCAAGTGAGCTTTAGATATAAACAAGCAAATATTTAGAGACTACAATGCTAATTCCCTGGTAAAAATTGAGTCAAAATATTGACATTTCTAAATAAAAGTCTTTTAGCTGCTTCGTCAAATGCCATGTTTATTCAATTCTGCTATCCATCAAACCACATACACAGGATTTTGGGATTTTGTAAACTGTCAAGGAGACATCGATTCTATCAAAATCCAAAGAGATTAAAGCATTTTAGTAGACAGGATCTCTCATATTGAATATGAATGTTTCTTGATGCCTTCCCATCTCCTTATAATCTGATGTAATACTGACCTTTCTTGTTTATATTTCTCTCTCTTTTTTGTTTAGTCATACTTCGTCACTGACTATGACCCTACGATTGAAGACTCCTACACAAAGCAGTGTGTGATTGACGAGAGGCCTGCGCGGCTGGACAGTAAGTATGCCGCTGATGGATGAAGGAGTCTGATTGTCAAACAAATCGCACAGGATGTAGGGAAACAACATACTGCTAACCGGCAGCAAAGATGAAGCACTTTATGATTTGATAATGCATCATAGAGATCAGATAAATTACAGAGGAACTGGTGCATTTTGTTATTATTCTATGCATTATGCATACTTGTGCAGGAGGGGTTATAATAAATGTACTGTAATATCACTTTGGACAAAAGCATCTACTAAATGACTACTTACTCCAGCATACATATTATACATGGTTGGTAAAAAAAAATAAAAATACTTTAAATTGAAAACATTTTCTAGGCGGAAAATTGCATAACTTAAAGGGATAGTTCACCCAAAAATGAAAATTCTGTCATTAATTACTCACCCTCATCGTTCCAAACCCGCAAGACCTTCGTTCATCATCAGAACACAAATTAAGATATTTAAATGAAATCCGAGAGCTTTCTGACCCTGCATAGACAGCAATGCAACTACCACGTTCAAGGCCCAGAAACGTAGTAAGGACATCATTAAAATAGTCCATGTGACATCAGTGGTTCAACCGTAATTTTATGAAGCTACGAGAATACTTTTTGTGAGTGGTAGATGTGTTGTTGTCTATGCAGGGTCCGAAAGCTCTTGGATTTCATCAGAAATATCTTAATTTGTGTTCTGAAGATGAACGAAGGTGTTAGATGTTTGGAATGACATGAGGGTAAGTAATTAATGACAGAATTTTTATTTTTGGGTGAACTATCCCTTTAAATACTTAGTTTACCAACCATGAAAATTCTGTCATTATTTACTCGCCTTTACATTTTTCATATCTTTATGACTTTCTTTAAAGCAGTGGTTCAACCAGGATGACAGTACCAGCTTCAAACTTCCAAGGGACAATAATAATTTTATAATTGAATATTATAATAATACTATTATTGAATTATAATAATTGTTACATCAACTTAATCTAAGTGTAATCTAAGTTATAATGCTAAAAAAACACTTTTCTGCCAAAAAACTGTTTTTTTATTGGCGAACATACAGTTCTTAAAGAACATACAGTCATTTGAATATTGTGTTAGACAGCAGAGGGCCTTCGAGTCGAAAAGATACAGTCCCACAGCAGAATGTGATCTTTTCTTCTGTATTGTGATGCACAACTGAATGCAAAAGATTATGATAAAAAAGTAGGGCAGGGACTTGGTTCTAGCCATCGGTTGTTTTTGGGATTTTTGGATGTGGGCATTGCACTCAAATACAGAGACAGGGGAATGTGAGCATGCAAAAGTGGGGTTTAGGCAAAATGAGTGATTGGAGAAGTCCAGCGTACGTCACGAAAGAGAAGTCTGTCGTTTTACAGGAAAATCAAGTTATGTAATTCTGATTAAAAATAATGAGGTCAAACAAAATGTCAAAAATAAAACATGCATTGTTCAAAATAAGATCAATAACATGCATTTAAAAAAACAGATGCATTTTCATTTCATGCCACTTTAATGTGATCTGATCACTAAAAAAAAAACACAAAAGGAGCCTGTGATTTCAAGCATTACTCAAGAAGGGAGCCGACTTCTGTCACTTGTTCACACAGACGTTATTCAATCTGCCGTTTGAGTCACACCTGTTAGTAAATACACTTATTAATCCTAACTGTTGCCATAGATACACAACACAACTCCTGTTAGGCCTTTAAATAAAGAAATCTGAATATAATAGAAAATAATCATTTATTTAATTTAGATACAGTTCTAATCAAACCCATAGTGCTGATGTGCAGTCTGTCTGTGGGTGACTAACATGGCTGTTCTGTGTTGGTTAGTCCTGGATACAGCAGGACAGGAAGAGTTTGGAGCCATGAGAGAACAATACATGAGGACAGGGGAGGGCTTCCTTCTTGTCTTCTCTGTCACTGACCGGGGAAGGTGAGCAGCGTTCCACTCACGTTTTCTCTCAACTTTCTCTCTTTCTTCCCCTTTCCCCTACATTGTCTGTCTCAGTTTCACTTTCATTCTGTTTTTGTCATTCCAGTTGTATTAATGTCCCTCCCCTTTGCACACATTTACATTTTCTGTAACTGTCAAATTAGAAGCATGCTAATTTACGCCCCAGGTTTTGTCTCGGTGAAACCCAGCACATGCAAATAAACAGATCTCACACACGTTGCAGTGTGTGTCCTCGAGGAATGAGGAGTGTGATCAGCCGGTTTGTGACCTCTTTGAGTCTTTCCCACTTTGTGTTTATGCAGTAAACAGTCTTTCCTTCCTTCGTTTACATTACCCCGCTCAGAGCTGATGGCGCAGGCCTCTCTGAACACACTCTCTCAATCTCTCCAGAGTCCATGACAAGCATTTCCTCCTGCATGACATTTAGACGACTCGTACTGTTAGAATCAACAGAGACCTCATATGAGTGTCCTTCCCTCCCCTGTTCTCCGTAATACAGCTTCTAGCCATCTTACAGCGTTACTGGAAAGTTTATAGCAACGGCATGTGAACTGAGTGACCTTATGTCATCCTGTGTACTGTAATGCAGTTCTGTGGCCCAAAACAGAGATAGCTGCTCATCAGCAGGAAGGGTGGGCTTGCATTCCATTTAGGTTTTGTGGAGAGGTGGAGCTCTGCTTTGTGGGTGTATGCGTGTGCTTTTATTTCATCATTTCTGAAAACGTCCTCACTAGGGATGCCTGATATATTGTTTTTTTTTTGTTACTAGTTTCCCTCAAGTTGACACACCAGGTGTCTTAGCAGAAAAACCACTAGTATAGTTATTTATAGTATTTTCCACAGAGTTTTTGTCTTAACTTTGAAAAGTATATTTAATATACTAAGTGCAAATAGGCCGCCTTGTTGCGTGTAACTCCGCCCACCAATGTGTGATTGGGTTAGTCAACACTACAAACGACGATCGCCTAACAACAGCTCCAGTGGCGTTGATGGTAAAGCGTGTGCTGTAGTCATTTTTAACTTGATCGACCCGAGGTTGAATCTGCCTTTTGCCAAACTTTTTTTTTTCTCCCTTTGCAAATCTCATAGTTCATCGGAAAGGCATTTATTTTCAATAAAAATGAAGGAAATAACTGAAAAGTTGAAAATAACGTATCGGGGAGGGTTAGGGTAGGTGTAGGGAGGGCTTTATAGTCCCAATAAGGTAGCATCCATTTAATAATTTGAATTAAAATCACAATTTACACTCATTACATTGTTATTGCATACTGTTTTATAATGTACTACAATACTGAGGTGCAGATAATTGCCACTATTTGCAATAAGTAGTATAAATAGCAGAAAATCCTGCAGTTTTAACATAGTGTAAATAGAATCTATAGCTATTTGCACTTAGTGTAAATAGCATGCGTCACTAAGAAAATATGCTATTTTCATTTAGTGTAAATAGCCGCTGCCATATTTAATTTTATTTCGTTTCATATAGTGAAACCTTAATAAACTGCATTTTTTCAAATGTTTTGACTGAAATTTCAGTTTCTTTAAAATGAACAAATTACATTTCTTTCACTATTTTATGTTATGTGAAGAAAATGTTGAAACACTATATATACGTTTGGGGTCAGTATGATTGTTACAAAAAAATAATTTAAATAAATGCTGTTCTGATTTTTTTATTCATCAATGGATCCTGAAGAAAATGCATTAATGTTTCCACAAACATATATTTATCAGCATAACAAAAAAAGGATAACGTTTTCATGTTTGTGTGTGTGTGTGTGTGTGTGTGTGAGTGTGTGTCTGAGAAAAAATGCATTGCTAGTTTCAAGCTGCTTGGACCTTTTTAATGGCTATGCATCATCTTGTTTTCCTCAGCTTTGAAGAGATCTACAAGTTCCAACGACAGATTTTGAGAGTGAAGGACCGGGATGAATTTCCCATGATTCTAGTGGGTAACAAAGCTGATCTTGAGCAACAGAGACAAGTGAGTGGCATGAATCACTTCAAGTACTGCAATTTCAGAGAGCTGCACTGAATGAGTTTTGATATGAACATTTTAATACTCTTTGTCTGCATTGCAATCTTAGCATGACTTGGCAGTCTGTTGTATCCATTGCAGAGATTCTGTCTATATAGTTTCTGTTGTAAAATGACACATGTACGTACTGCACACATATATACAGAACTCAAGAGCACAGTGTCACAGTAATTACTTGTGGATGAAATTCAATCCTGACAATCAATGAACTGAAAGGCTGAAAAATATCACAGAGTGTGTGTGTCTGAGAGAGAGAGATGGTAATAAAAGATATGGGGTTACTGAGTGCATAGATAGACACTCGGATTGTGTTACACTGCCACTTAGTGTCAGAACAGAAAACGTCAGCCTGTTGTAAATTGACTGCATCAATTGTTTTTACTTTTATGAAAGGCACCTTATGAGACACATTGTTTTAATCAATATCGGACAGAAAATAAAAACTGTGATAGGAGATAAAATGAAGTGCATAGCTGGATTTTAATTAAGGATGGATTTCTTTTTCAGGTGACCCAGGAGGAGGGTCAGCAGCTCGCCCGACAACTCAAAGTCACATACATGGAGGCCTCAGCTAAGATCCGTATGAATGTAGACCAGGCTTTCCATGAGCTGGTCCGTGTCATAAGGTGTGTGTGTGTGTGTCATACATTGCTGTTGTACCACCAGATGGTGGCAGCAGACAAACAGCAGGCTGTGGTTGGAATGGAGCACTTGGATACTTGCACACCGCTTTGGATGTATGTAAATCTGTAAACATTAAGAAATGATAAACATTTCAAACAATAGTATGCTACAATGTTGTCATTATGTTGCATAATTAATAGAGCTATTGGTGTCTACTTTATTCAATTTTAAGAGTAAAAATGTCTTGCATTGTGGGATATAATATCCTTACCTTTTATACACTGCATCTGGGTTTTTCATAAAAAAATAAATACAAAAATTTAAACAAAAAATGCAGCTGCACTGAACAGATTGACAATATGACAATATACGGCTGAACTGTTTTCAGTTCAGTGTTATTTTAGTATTATTTATATACTATTATAGTGTTAAATTGGCTTTATTGTTCTATTTTTCAAATTTTAGGTTAGGTTAATTTTTTTTGTGCTTTTGTCAATTTCGATTTAGCTTAAATTTTTATTAATTTTTATGTGTTTTAGTAATTTTAGAATTTTAGCTTAAACTGATTTATTGTATTTCCTAAGGTAACATTTCTCATTTTTAACATTTCTAATGAACATTTCTAATATAAGTTTTTTTTAGACTTTATATTTACATTTTATTTTAGCCTTATTTCAGTTACCGTTTTTAATAGTTTCAGTTAAAAATAACTAAATTGAAATAAATTCAGTTGGAAGCCAAATGTCTCGTATGACATGTAATCTTAATTTGAGCTCAGAGATTTGTACACTAAATGTGCAACATGTTTTGACTGATTGTCACATCCTCTCACAGGAAGTTCCAGGAGCAAGAGTGCCCACCCTCGCCGGAGCCCACGCGCAAAGAGAAGGATAAGAGCGGCTGCCATTGTGTGATTGTCTAATTGGCCTTTCACTGCCGCCACTCACCCAGCTGCTGTCACCGGTCCCTGCCCCCCACCCTGCCTTCTGACATCACGTCCTGTGCGGATGAATTCGCTGCCTTTCTACATGTGCATGTCTTCAAAACAGCAGTCTCTCTCATAGCCTTATCAGGGGCATTTGTGCCTCTAGGACTTCACTACTAGAAGAACCAAACTGACAAAATCTTGATCGAACTCACCATTCTACCTTCAGCTAGAGTACTGACATCAGTGTGATTTAGAATATGGTAATCGTGCCCCAACACTAAACATCGCTTCTTACAAATATGCTATAAAACACACAGTTTCTTTTTTTTTGTATTTTGAAGGATTTTTTTCTCTTGACTTGTGACATTTGTACGTTTGCTGAGATGGAAAGACTAAATGAAACACCATTGAGATTGCAGACGACTTTTAGTCACGAGATCTAGATTGAGATGATGTTCTGAAGCTTTGTGTGTGTGTGTGTGTCGTGCCATATCTGTTTTTACTTCCATATGCTAAGTTGCGATTGTATATAAGTGAAGATTTGTGTGAGTTGAGACCACCTTTATAATGACAAAACTCAGTTGCAGAGTTCCGTGTGTGAGGTTGACGAGCTTGTTTTGACATGCATTAAAACAATAATGTACTCGCAGATGTGTACGTAGATAGCCTCTAACATTATGCCAATTTTGTCAGCAGTGAAGTCAGTTTGCCAACTTATTGTTTGGTCAAGATGTCTTTTTTATTTGCATCGTAAGGCTTCTTGGCATGTATGGGTTTGATTTTATAAATTTTTTTAAAGGGATAGTTCACCTAAAAATGAAAAATCATTCACTTAGCCTCTTCACTTGTTCCAAAACTGTTCCAAACCGAAACCTTTTGTCTGCGGAACACAATTTTTGTAGTAGTTTTTTTTTTGTACTGTTGTTATTTTACAGTACAACAGTAATGTATTTCTATATTAATTTAATGTTTATAATTTCAATATTATAGTCAAATTTAGTGCTGTCAAACGATTAATCACGATTAATCGCATCCAAAATAAAAGTTTTTGTTTACATAATATATGTATGTGTGCTATGTATATTTATTATGTATATATAAATACATACACATGCATGTATATATTTCAGAAAAATTTTATGTTTATATATTAAATATTTTTTTATATAAATATAGGCATGTAAATATTTTCAAAATATATACTGTGTGCATGTGTATTTATATATACAAAATAAATATACACAGAACACACATATTATGCAAACAAAAACTTTAATTTTGGATGCGATTAATCGCAATTAATCATTTGACAGCACTAGTAAAAATACTATTTTCAATTATTATTATTATTATACAGTCATATTGAATAGGGGGAAAACTATTTCTTCTTCTTTTCCCTTCTTATTTGTCTTTGACCACATGCCAGAATGAAAGTCACTAGGGTTTGTTGTTGTTTTAGGCCCCGTGGCTTTTCATTATTTTTACAAAACCTATTTCAAAATATCTCCTTTTGTGTTTTGCAGAAGAAAGTATGTCATGCATGTTTGGAAGGACGAGAGTATGTTCATCTTTGGTTGAACTTTCCCTTTCCGTTCTGTGATTGTGAGATGTATTCTACATGTAGCCAGATTGTTCAAGCCTTCCTGACTCTCAGCTCAGATTTCTACAGACTATCTTCAGACTCAGGTTTCTCCATTTACAGTGTTTTGACAATGTTCTGACGATGTCTGCACAATAGGCTGTCTGTTCTCTACTAGGTACCCCACTGAGATCGGTGACACAGAGAATTAGTCTCTCAAATAATTGTCTCTTTTTCTGGCCTTGTATTTCAATTCACTTTTACACTGATTTAGTTTTTATCGGTTTTGAAACATATTTAAGTGAATGAAACGGCGCGAGGACTCCATTGAACTGCTGACATCACAGGCATCTTTTCATGTATGTGAGCAGATAAAATCAAGTTTTTTTTTTAAATGATACAAAAGACAGAATTCATACACCAGACATCCACATTCCCTCAAGACTGTTTTTTTTAATATGGTTTGACGTCTCGGTGACATTCACACTTCAATCTGGTATTTCTCATCTGACAGGTGATAATTTGCTTCCTGGCTTCATACACCATGGGTTCATATCACTATCACATCATGCCACATTTTATTTTCGACTTCATTTTTTTCCAGCGTGCATTTCTGTATGAGGGATACAAATAAACAATTTTAGTTTTTGTGTTTCATCATCATGTAATATAAGAAAAAAGATGGAAGTGATCTTTTGAATGGACATGATTAAATGTTTTTACTATATACTTTTATACATTATTTTCTTATCAGACTAGTTAATGAGTATTTTTATATGTTTGTAAGTGAAAACGCTCTCGCGGCACAACTATGTGTATATGTAAAGAGGATTATTTAATTATCTCGGTTTGTTTTTCACTGAAAAAGGCCAATGTATGTTGAACTGTGGTCCTTTCGAGGGACTGAAGCCGATAACCCATCCTAACAGTTGTCCACCTCATAGCCTATCACAACTTTATCAGTGATCACTGGGCCAATGCTTCGAGCCGATGCCCTTTTGTGATGACTCAGGTTCATATCCTAACCTAAACCTTGTCCGTTACACCAGTTAATAGCAACATTGATCTAATCGAAAGCTAGTAAGAACAGAAGTGCATGGCTCTTCTTCTTCCCAGAGTCTGTGTACATCTAATACATACTGTGTTTTATTTGTCACATCTTTCCCTCCCACTGTATAGCCTCTGGTGCTATAATAAAATCTATGATTTATCTGTGATACATTGGCTTTTCCTTGATGAGGAAACGGTACAACACGTTGCACAAAATTATAGTTCTCGTTCTTTAAGTCGGCATTGAATAACAAGTGTCACCAAGTGACAAGTAGATTGTTATTTTGCTGTCCTTAAGTATATCCCCTGTGATTTGCAAAACTTCCGTTCTTTTCTTGGACGGTGTTCCAGCCGATACTGTAATGAGCTGTGTGACAACTTGTGTCATAAGCATGGTTTTATTGTTATTGAGTCTGCTGTGTATTCTTCCATGAGATTTAAAAGTGTTAGGTAACATTGTGAAGGAGAGGAGGGTGTCATATCATTTTGGAGAATACTCCGAATTAAGAGGACCGGCTTCAGAAAAGCTGCTGTTTGCTCGTGTTGTGACAGTTCTACAATTAAAGTGTCAAGTAACGGAATTAAATCAATGCAGTGACAGCTATAATATAGAGTTGTTTCTGTATGTGTCAATTTTATAGTGATTGTAAATCTGAGTGCTCAGTTACTATTAAAGCTTATTCTGAGATAGGCCTTGAATGGTCAGGGCTGAGTTTCCCAAAAGCAGCATAAGACAGTCTACTTAAAGGAACAGTTCAAACAGTTGGTGGGAACTAGTTCCCAGTGCAGGAAGACCTTAAATACTCGTCAATCTTAAAATGAATAATGCATGAAATCATATAACGGATGACTGGTCTCTTGAGTCTGTACTTGTCAAATGTAGAAGCCTTAAAAAGGGATTTTTAAATGTATTTTTTGGGGGTTTTGTTGTGCCGTTCACATTGTGTGGATGAGCGCTGTGTCAAAATTGCCATGCTACTTTCACACACATTCACATGGACAAGTGGGCTTTAATAATCACCAACACCTGCTGGCAATGAAGGGTCATTAGGGAAGAAGAAAACGAGCACATTGATACTGGTCTATGAATTTGGCTGACCTATGGTAGCTTAAAACACTTTCCTACCACTCCTGATGAGCATGTGGCAAAAGCATGGATGTTCTGGTGAGGTCAGAATGTGCCTTAGACTGGCTGTACTCTTATTAGAGCCGGTTTTGGGAGACAGCTTTGTGTCCTTTGAGCACATCTGGGTCATGAATGGGTGGATTGACAGCTGAATGTCACTGCGCTTGCAAACATATGTTTGAAGTTCGGTTTGCCTAGCAGCACATCTACGGCCAACCAGCAGAGACATGAGTGAACCGCATTGTTTAGATCTCAAATATTGTCAGATTCTGTGGTTTCTAGCTGGGTATATAAACAGTCACTGCAAAACCGATAAAGCATTTACAATTGGTAAATTTGGCAAGGATACTTTCCTTCCAAAAGTCAGTGTTTTGATCAACACTTTGAACAACGATCTGATTACTTTTAATCAGTTTTATAAAATCTCAGTAATTTCTATTCCAACATTTCATGGATAATTTTAGAGATTAACTGATCCCCATTACTCTCTCTTTCACTAATTATTAAGTATTACTATTAATTAATAGATGTCTATTTGCCTTGTACATGTTGGTACTCCAGAAAAGAGACCGAGCTAATGCAAGAAACTGGAAAATTATACCTTTTAATATGTTTGAGATCTATTCTATTGGAAACTATTTGTTTACATTTTTGGTCACTGGATTCTATATATTTTTTGAGTGTTCATTTATTAACATTTGTAATTTATAGCATTTGTAGTCTACAGTCATTCATGTAGATTTGTGTAGTAAAAAAATGTTTTTTGTATTTTGAAATGATGAGGTAAAGATGATCCCCTCAATTGCTGCAAGTGTTTACTTTTGACTGGGGTTCTGTTATTTACATTTTTAATAACATTATTTAATTATTATTCAGTTATTGTCTAAACACATAATTTTACATGGCATATTTCATTTACTATTCAAAATTGATAGCTTTAAAAATAATGAAAACTATCAATTGCATTTTCTATCTTTTCTGTAAAAATAGATGATGACTGGCATTAGTTTACCTCAGGGGCCTTCGTGCCAGAGGTTGAACGTTTTTCATATTAGCCTACATTTATTTCCCTAAATACTTCTCTAAATAATATCTTGGATGATGCATCATCATAATGCACACCATGCATTATCACTAATGCTCAGATTTCTTAAGGGGGCAATCATCCTCAAGAAACTAAGCTTAATTGTAATCTTTACTTTATGTTTATGGAATATATATATATATATATATATATATATATATATATATATATGGGTCATTCCTGGGTTTCTGTAATATTTCAGTCCCCCAGAGTTTCAGAGTTTCGTCACAAAAATTAATTGTTAGAAGCTTTTCATCCTCAAGAAACAAAGTTTAATTGTTATTTTTTTTTTATGTTTATGTATTAAATAAATATATATATATATATATATATATATATATATATATATGGGTCATTCCTGGGATTCTGTAATATTTCAGTCCCCCAGAGTTTCTAAAGTGGTGGTGGTGGTTCACCAACATTAATTGTTAGAAGCTTTTCAAAAAACTTTGGGATGCCCATTATAACGAATAAAATAATGTCTTATATCTATCTTAAACCAAGCATTTTGTCATGTCCCTGAGGCACTTCACTGAGTTTGTACTTTGAAAATTATTAACAAAATGTGCATAGTGTCTGATTTTTGGCAACAATGTAAGCATTTATGTGTGTTCCTTTCTTGTAAAAAATATTTTTCAAAAAAGCAAAATGTTGTATAAAAAATAGACTTTAAAGTCATGTCCCTCAGTCTGAACTCAACCCTGTCACACTAACCGTTCTACGCCAATAATAATTTAGACTCCACTCATGTGACATAATTTCCCAGAAATTACATCAGTCAGGTCTCTTTAATAGTGCTGCAGAAAATGGTTAGTAGTATCATACTTTTTTATTCATATTTTTGAGGCATGTTATAAGGTTAGAGGGTACTGTCAAGCTTCAACCCCGTCACATAAAATTAAGATGGAAATTATTACTTTTTCAACATTTTATTTTGTGCTTATTTTATTGCTGCCATATATGGTCTACTCTCCTACACTACATGAGGAGCAGTGGTCATTTTGAGTGAAAAACCTCAACCCCGTCACAAATATATGTATTTCTCATTGCTACAGGGTTGTACACTTGTGACAGGGTTGAGTTATTTGCTTCATTTATTAATAATTTCAATGAAAAAATATAAAATATTAATTGTTTCAGTAAATATATATATATATATATATACTCCAAAATGACAACTCATATTTTTGTTTTAAATAGAATTTTTGATGTAATATGTCCACTTAAACGTTGACAAGCATCATACATCAGAAATTGCACCCTCATTTGCAGCAGAAAGACAATGCTGGCCATGCAGATATGTTGACCCAGAAACAAGGGGACAATATGAGCGAGAAACAAAACCAACAGTCTTCAACCCCCTCACACCTTGTCACATTAATATTTTTAGACAAATATAGGGAAGACAATTAAGAGCAAAAGTATTTCTTGCTGATTACTATCTGACATGTTAAGGGCTAAAACAATAAAATTGTGGTTTTAGTAAAATTGTAAATAAATTTTTTTTGACAAAAATAAAGAGACCTAGACACAATTTGTGTATTTTTAGCTTCAGTCCTATAAAAAATGTGACAATTATGATAAATCTTACATTTGTTATCATTAAATTGTTATCAGGGACACATGAGCAGTAGCTAGGCTACATGTTTGTTTTATAACAATTTCTGTGTAAAATCCTTTTTAAACCAATCCCATTTTGTCCGTTACGGGGGTTGAGGGGGAAAAAAAGGTGAACCCCCCCCCCCCCCCCCCCCCCCAAAAGGTCTTTAATGCCTGAGGTGGGAAAATATGATTTTTTTTTTAGGTTTGATAGGTGCCTAATGATGTGGGGTATTTAGAAGTTGAATCACATGTAGTTGAAAAACATGTAGGCCTATATTCCAGGTTGAAATCTTACAGAATCCCAGGAATGACCCATAGCTATATACATCTTTCCATGTACAAAACAAAATTTAGGCTACCCTTTACCTTCTATTCTACAATAGAGGGAGAAAATTGGCTGTTTTTTAATATTACACACACGCAAATGGTTCCCACTCCCACTGTAACTTCTGCAATAACAAAACTGATGGCTACGTTATTTTTTTGAAGAAAATCTTAATCCAAACGTGTGCGAATACATGGTGAATACAACTGACATTTCCCCTCTCACAGCCAGTGGTTCAGTCCACCTATTTTAAACCCCTCAACCAAACGGTTTTCTAAGGCTTCCCAGCTCTCCACTAGAAACATCTGAAGACGTTCACTGTGGTGAAGACGGAGGATTTAACACAAGACGCCAACAATATTTTACGGCTCGGCGTCGCTGTATAATCGAGCATTTGTGTCCACAGATGGCCATGGACGGACTGAGCAACAATAAGAGCATGTCATACAGTCGATGGAGTTATGACAGGTGAGCACGCCGTTATTCTGTACACACACTGTAAAATCTGTTTTTCTGTACGTGTTAAATAATTCATGTGATCAAAGTAAATCGCGACGAGAAACGGCAACGAACAAACCAACCCAACGGCTCGTGACGGTGACAGAACACGCTGATTCTAACGACCGAAGTTGTGTACAAAGTTCGTGATTCGTTCGAGAAGTAACAAATTACATCTTTTAGTAAAAACGAAGGGCATTTCGCAAACCTGATGCTGTTTTTCTGTTTTGGTGTTCGCAAAGGCGCTTGTAACAAAGCGACTAGAGAGACATTAGGCTCAATCAAACAGCACATAACGGGTCTTTTTTGTTTTGAGACAACGGTTACTGCCTATCAACAGCTCTGAAGAGCGAACCGTCACCGTTCTATTTCAACACGTGCTCTTTCCAGCGCATCTCTGCTGTGTTTATTAGCTCAGCTCCACTGTCAGCATCCCAATTCTCTACAGGCATCATCATATCTGCCTCAGTGCTTCTGCCTATGAACCAGAAGATGCTAGAGTTCATCACGTCTGCAGTAGGTGACACATGTGAAATTTCAGTCAAAACCCAGGATGTGATTGGTATGCTGTGACTGCACTCTCACCGCTCCCCAGAGGAAATACAGAAAGATCCTGTAGTCTTGATGCCTTAATGTGGCATGTTACAATGAAGCAGGGATAATATATGTATGAAGCCAACCGTCTCATCATACTGTGTCTGAATATGCACACGTGACTAAAACAAAAAAGTGGTTTGTTAAATAAGAGGGTCTAAACATGTAGTATTTATGAAACAATAGGAAAGCAATAGCCAAATGATGTACTACGTGTTGCCAAAGTGTGCAACAAGACATTTTGCTATCCCAAGGCCATGGGACTGGAGTCATCAGGTTGGTAAAAAAATTGTGGCACTAATCTGCATGAATTCTGTTCATGAATTCTATCAAATATAGTCAATATTGAAAGTTCTATAATATTTTTCTAACAATGCTAAAAAAAAACATAACTACTCCATGCTTTCTCTATATAAAAAGGAGTAAACCATATACACATGCATGATATATTTTAATGCATATTTTGAGTAGAGTATTTCAGTCAAAACCCAGGATGTGATTGGTATGCTGTGACTGCACTCTCACCGCTCCCCAGAGGAAATACAGAAAGATCCTGTAGTCTTGATGCCTCGTAGCATTCTTAATGTGGCATGTTACAATGAAGCAGGGATAATATATGTATGAAGCCAACCGTCTCATCATACTGTGTCTGAATATGCACACGTGACTAAAACAAAAAAGTGGTTTGTTAAATAAGAGGGTCTAAACATGTAGTATTTATGAAACAATAGGAAAGCAATAGCCAAATGATGTACTACGTGTTGCCAAAGTGTGCAACAAGACATTTTGCTATCCCAAGGCCATGGGACTGGAGTCATCAGGTTGGTAAAAAAATTGTGGCACTAATCTGCATGAATTCTGTTCATGAATTCTATCAAATATAGTCAATATTGAAAGTTCTATAATATTTTTCTAACAATGCTAAAAAAAAACATAACTACTCCATGCTTTCTCTATATAAAAAGGAGTAAACCATATACACATGCATGATATATTTTAATGCATATTTTGAGTAGAGTATAACTATAAATCTAATTCTCTCTCTTTATCTGTATCTATATATATATATATATATATATATATATATATATATATAAATTGTACTTTAAAAATCTTCACCTGATTAGTAGATTCAGCATAACGTACTGTCATTATCAGTACATCTAAGGTCAAAGGACAATTCTATTGGAAGGTGTAGTACATCTGTGATTGTGTTTATATTGCATACCTGAAAAACACTCTTCATCAGTAGTCGAGGGGTATACATTCCGGATGCAGCATCTGTTCCTCCGTCTCTCTCCTCGGAGACCCTTTTGGCTAGTTCAGTGTTTGGGGATGCATGTGGGTGAGAGGGCACGGAGGTAAATGGAGGAAGTGTTCCTATGGCAAAGACAGTGCTTCAGAGAACAGCTGGTGCCTCTCTTCCAAACAAAGGGAATACTATCCATTGCTGAGTACCATCTCTGATGAATGGATAAAAGAGACAATACCTGCCAGCACATCAGGCTGGAGTACATCCCAGATCATAGTTCTATCTATGATGTGCTGTGAATACAGAGCCAGGCATGATGGAGACAAAGCACCACAATGTTTTGTTCAACTGATTGTAATCCTTTTAACTAGCACTGCAGTAAGAACATTTCCCTCACCTATTTAATCCAGCCACTACCTGCGGTTAGATCAGCTCCAGAATGATACCTTGAGCTAGTTTGGGATTTAATGGAACCGGCGCTGATTACAGATTCATATGTGCACAGCTCATGCCGGCATTACAATCGACAGCCGTCCTCATCAGGTCTGGAGCTGCTCTCAGACGGTCTAATCAACAGGCCGTTGTCCCCATTAGCACAGCTGAAAGTGCCAAGGTGTTTGGCGCAGATAGTTTTCAGCACAGGCAAACTTCAATGGAAGTAGTTAAGCATTTTCATATTTCTGTCAAAGAGGGGGGAGTCTGCTCCAATTATCCAAATAAATGTCAAGTGATCTCAGTAGGAGGCAGATAAGGTGTCTCACTGTGGCCATTAGACAGTAATTTTTGATAATAATTCATTCCTGCTTTTTTTCCCCACAATACTGAAAGGAGCATACAATCAATGCACTTAATTGACCCTTTGCTAAGCTCAGCCTGCTTGGTTACTGTTGCTAACTTTTGACTAGTTTCACTGAACATTTCAGAGGAATGAAACACTGCCTGCATCCAAATATACATACACAGTAGGCAAAAAACAATGTGAAAACAGTAGAAAGTTCAAATTCATTGTAATAATGAAACAGTAGGCAGAGAGAAGTTGTGAATTGTAGTCAGGCAACGCGACAAATGTAGTTCATTCATACACACATTCATACTATATAAAACATACTTTTTAAATGGCCATGAAATAAATACTTATTTAAAAGAAGTATATACTCTGAGAGTATGTGATTTCACATACAGCCAGTGTGATTTTCAGTGATCATATAGGGGTAAAGATTGATTGACTGGATATTATTCTTAACTGGACTGAAATTAATTGTGACATTGCACTGCATATTTATCTGTATTTTTTCATACAAATTGTTAAATTAAAATGAAACGTGATTAAAAACGGCAGAGACTGCAAATTGAGGCAAAAGCTAAATGTATCAGTCAATTGAAAGGAGAAATGTAATTTGATTTCTACTGATAATATTAGTATAAGAGGACTGAAATGTTTTTCATAGTACTTTAAACATTTCAGTTTGTATTGACAGTACATATGTGAATCAATACATTAAAAAAATTGTTTATATTAATTCACTGTGAATTGTAAAGCATAATTTTGTTTTTGGTCATTTGGGAAAGAGCAGTGCTTTTTAAGTATAATTTTATACTATTATAATATTTATTAATATTTTTGATTGCTTTGATTTTATATTTTCAGTTTAATTTTGATTTAGGTTTTAGTAATTTAGTTTTTTATTCTATTTATTTTTATTAGTTTTAATACTTTTAGTTAGTTGCCTTTTTAATGTCTTGCTTTGGCATTTCTATTTTTTTCTAATAATTTAAGTTTTTCATCTAATATTTATTTTATTTCAGCATAATTTCAGTGAACAATTTTTAATCGTTTTTTTTAGTTAACAATGACAACACGAAAAGAGGAACAAAATACTGCTTATATCCTCTCAGGGTGCCTTGTGTCACTATTATAAGTGACCCAGGCATGCCATTTTACTATATTGAAAGATAATTTACATAGAATTGTTTAATATATCCAAACACACAGTTCCTTCATGGATTAGTTACATTAGAAAGAAGCTTGTTTGAGAAAATGTCAGACGGCAACAGTTGTTAAGGTAGGGCTTAGCGAAGGCTCAGTTATCTAATGAAAACCAGGCTATATATGTTTTTCATACCTTATTTCACACTTCTTACTATAGTGAAAAATATGAGAACTGCGATGGTGAAAAATCGTTGGGAGGCACACACTTTTCACATCATTCACTGCAGCTCATTGACCGAATTCCAATAAGAGTTGAATCACTCCATGAATTACACAGAACATCTACTGTGTTCTTCTGACAGATAAGTGGAACCATTGTAAGACATTTATATAAAGACACACTCTCTCTAAGGCAGATGCTTGATTTGTGGGATTCATTTTGTATTTCAGACTCGGTAAGATTGTTGAGATTGCTCGGCGGAAAGAGGTCTCCATTGGATGACATCTCAATTTTCTCTCCACAGAGAAGGTCTGTATTACCTGCAGAGAGAGCTATCTGTTAGCATTTTCATTCATCTCGGTGGCAGTTGGGCGGCTTGTGCATGAACCCTAAGGAGTATGTGACCTGGATGGAGGCTTCCATCTTTGCTCATGGGTGTTTGGCTCTAGGACCTAATTCTGGGAAAAATATGTCTTCTACCTTTGTATAAAATATATTTTTTAAGGTATATATATTTTATACTTTTGCATACCCAACAATAGGCAAACATGTTTTTTTCATCACAGTGTAGTTCTGGCATCCACCAGCAAGGGCTGAGAAAGTGATGCTAACTAGCCTTTTTCTGAGCACCTGGTTAGAGGTTTATTAGCCATGGCCCACTTAATCAATAAAAGGGTTGCACTGATGGCACTGCAATCATAATGATCTGTTATTACCTGCTGAGGTTATCATCACAATCAAAAAAAAAAATTTGTGAACTGATTGTTGCTGATTCACGCACATCTGTTGAGAATGTTACTTGTGGTTGAAATCCCTGGACAACACTTATAGTACCTTTTTTATTTTGTTCTTCATCAGGTTAATTAGAAGATGTCCACGCCGGTCAATCTCTGCAGACAGACGTCTAAACTGAGCAATTTATGTGAGGCTAAGTAAATAAGTGGACTCGCCTCCTATCGATGTTTTGGAGCTTA